TCGGAGAAAAGCGGGGGGGCGTTGGGGCCCCCCCCCAGCCGGTCCAGGTTGGTCCCTGCAGCCGTGGTGGGCTTCTCCTCAGTGGGGTATGTGCGGAAGCGACGCTTGGTTTCAGGCTGGGTGGCACGGCGGGACCGGGCGGGCGCTGGGCGGGGGGTGCAGCAGCCCTGGAATACCTGGGGAAGGAAACATAGAGGATAGGGACAGCCCAGAGCCCACCTGCAGTGCTGTGAGCTTCCCCGGCAATGCCCCAGCACTGCAAGCTCCCCCGTGGCAGCCCCCCCACCCCTCAGCACTCCAGGCTGGCCCCCCCAGCAGCACCCTCCACCCCATGACCCCCACCTTGGCAGAGGTCTGCACCCCATTCTCCTGCATGTACATGATTCCCTCCGAGATCTTCACCCCGATGGATTCAGCTGCCAGTTCCACATTGAAGGGCCCCACCAGCCGCTCGGCCACCTGGATCAGGGCATCTAAGGAGTGAAGGGAGGGGGCTGGTTACATATGAACACCTCCTCCGAGTTGCAGCCCCATGGGGACAACGCCCAGGCACAATTGGAGTCCCCCATCCCCAGTCACCCACATTGCCCTATGCCCCCAGTCCTGCCTCACCGAGGAAGTGGTCCCACTCGGCGTGCAGAGCAGTGGCAGCTGCCAGGCAACCCTTCATCACGTTGAGGCAAAAAGCCCGGCAGGGCTTGAGGGCTGGGCTCCCGCGGCATAGTGGGCAGTAAGACATGCGCATGGCAGCTCGCAGGCACTCGCTGCTGGGGGCCATCTAGGAGGCAGAGCATCAGAGAGGGAACCCCCCCATATACTGCCCAGAGGGAGGCAGAGAGGGGACCCCCACTCTACACAGCGGGTAGAGTGGGGGACCCCCCCATACACTAAGCATCAGAGAGGGGGACCCCCCCATACATTGCCCAGAGAAGGCAGAGGGGGGACCCCCCCATACACTGAGCATCAGAGAGGGGGGACCCACCCCATACACTCTCAGGAGGGGGCAGATAGGGGATGCCCCATACACAGCCCAGGGGTAGATAGGGGACCCCCTATACACTGCTGAGCAGGTAAAAGAATCATACGATCCTAGGACTGACAGAGACCTCAGGAGTTATCGAGTCCAACCCCCGGCTAAAAGCAGGACCAATTCCAACTAAATCATCCCAGCCAGGGCTTTGTCAAGCTGGGACTTTAAAACCTCTAGGGATGGAGATTCCACCACCTCCCTAGGGAACCCATTCCAGTGCTTCACCACCCTCCTAGGGAAAAAGTAGAACATTGCTCCTCATTCTGTCACCTGCTACCACTGAGAACAGCCTCTCTCCAACCTCTTTGGAACCCCCCTTCAGCTAGTTAAAGCCTGATACCAAATCCCCCTTCACTCTTCTCTTCTGTACACTAAAAAATTCCAAATCTTTCAGCCTCTCCTCGTAAGTTATGTGCTCCAGCACCCTAATCATATTTTGTTGCTCTCCACTGGACTTTCTCCAATGTATCCAAATCCTTTCTGTAGTGGGGGGCACAGAATTGGACACAATGTGGCCTCACCAGTGCCTAATAAAGGAGAATAATCACTTTCCTAGATCTGCTGGCAATGCTCTTACTAAGGATGTTAAGTAGAATTTAATAAGCTAATCGAGTAGTCGATGGAATTTCCCATAAGGGAGTTAGCTCCTGGGGGCAGCGTGAGTTGGGCTTGCGCGAGCTCCACGACTGTTGCAGCTCTGCTTTTTTAATGTAGGAAGAGCCGCCAGGCTCGCACCAGCTCTGGACCCCACTATGGCTCTGCCTTTTAAATGTGGCAGCTCTTCTTACATTTAAAAAGCAAAGCAACAGTGGTCCCTGAGCTGGAGTGAGCCAGGATTGAGCAGTCCAGGCTCATGCCAGATTCCCCGCCGCACCTCTGCCTCCCCTCCCTTCCCCTCCCCTGTGGAGATGGTGCTGGGCGGGGGAGGGGGGAAACTAGCTTTTAAGCCCGCTCCCCTCAGCACTGGCTCCTAATCCCCCACTTCCTGCCTCTGATACAGAGGTAGAGGAGGTAGGGGGAAGCGAGTAGTGACTTGGCTACTTACTAGTCGCTTACATTCCTAGCTCCTACCAATGCACCCCAATATGCTGTTAGCCTTCTTGGCAACAAGGGCTCATTGTTGACTCATTTCCAGTTTCTCATCCATTGTAATCCCCAGGTATTTTCTGGGGAACAGCTGTTGAACCTCATCACATTTCTTTTGGTCCAATCCTCCGGAAGAGACCCCCGGCTGGGGAGCCCAGTAGTGTCAATGAGGGAGCCCCAAACAGCCCTTCAGAGTGCCAGTGGGGTGGGAGAGGACAACCTAGGTGGATCCCCAGGCTCTGGATCAACTCCAAAGGGCAGCAGGAGGGGCAAACTGACCGTCCCACAGCATCACCTGTGTACCCTTCCCCCCTCCATGCCTGCCTCCCCTCACCTTGGCAGCCTTGGTGACCACATCACGCCCAGTGGCCAGTCCCTGCACAAAGGCCTGGGCTGCCCCAAACGCCCGTGTCACCTGGAGAAGGGGAGAGAGGAGAGGTGAGGGGAACCACCATGCCTCCTGAGATCCCCAGCCCCATCTAGCCCCAGTCTCTTGGCCAAGGCTGCACCCCAGAGCCTACAGAGCCCTCCCGGCCCCACCCACATCCCAGAAAAAAAAATGAGTTGTGAGCCCCTCCTTAAGCCTCCTGCACCCCCCTACCCAGGGGCTCACCTGCAGGCGCAGTTTGCGGGGCACGTCCCCGAAGGGACGTAGAGCCTCTGCCTGGCGCCCCACACACTCCAGGTATGCAGGGGGGAACTGGTATTGTGGGTTGAGCAGTGGCAGCATCCGCTCCAGAAGCCGGACCCAGAGCTCATCCAGCACCTCGGCCAGACTGAGACGGGCACCCTGCTGCTGACGCTGCAGCTCAGCAAAAAGCCCCACGAAGAGCCGAGCATTCTGGGTATACAGGCGCCCATAAGTCCGTGTAAACATGGCTTGCAGGCCCCGCTCCGCTGTCACCAGCAGCTCACGGAAAAACTCTGCACATGCAGAAAGACAGGTGGGAGATTAATTGACAAATCGAATAGTCAATGCAAGCAGTCCCCTGCTGGCCCCATACTCCCCACGGCGTTTCAAAGCGGCAGCGCCACATGGAGCCCATCCCCAGCTGACCCCAGGCTCCAGGCGGTGCTGTCGCTTTGAAACGCCTCAGGGAGCCCAGTGTCAGGCTCCACACAGCGTTTCAAAGCGGCAGCACCACATGGAGCCCAGGGTCAGTGAAAAAGTCCCCACCTGACCCCAGGCTCTATGCAGCACTGCTGCCTTGAAACACTGCATGCAGCTGGGGCCAGCTGGGGAACAGGGCTGCATGTGGCATTTCAAAGTGGCAGAGCTGTATGGAGCCCAGGGCCCAGGCTCAGTGCAGCGCTGCCGCTTTGAAGCACCCTCTCTTCTTCCCCTTCCCCACTGCCTTTTTCTGATAGAGGCAGCAGGGGGTGGGGGGAGCAACTAGTTGACTAGCCTGTCGACTATCTGATAAGCATTTGTCGTTCATATCCCTACCCCCCCCCCCCCCCCCCCGTCCTTCCCATAGTATCACCTGAGCCCTGAACTCTGGGAGAAGAGTGGGGTTGGGGGGGGACAGAGCAGGGGGCTGGGAGCCAGGCCTCCCGGGCTCTCTACCCAGCTCTGGGAGGGGGCTGGCAAGTTAGACCAGGGGAGTTAGGAGTCCAGATGCCTGGGTCCTCACCCTCAAAGCGGCGGTGACGGGAGGCCAGGGTGCTGGACAGAAAACTGGCCCCCTCCTCCACCAAGGCTCGGAAGTCACTCTCGCTCTGCCGGCTAAGCTGTTCTTCCAGGTCGCTGGAGCAGCAGGGGTAGTCCTGGGGGCAGATCCGCAGGTGCTCCCCTGGGGGACAAAGAACCCCCCCCCCCCGTCACTGCCTGGCCGAGGAGGGCCTCAGCTCCCCCTGAGTCCCTCGGCAGATGGGGTGCGTGGGCGGGGGGGTGCATGGGACGGGACAAGGGGTGCAGAGGGGACGGGGGCCCGCGGGTGGCAGGGGGTGCATGGAGCGGGATGCATGGGCGCCCCGGGCCCTTACCTGAGAGCAGCGCGGGCGGCCCCAGGCCCAGCCCCCGCGCGCCCAGCGCCCGGCGAGTCTCAGAACAGCCCCGCAGCGGCCCCGCACCCAGCCCGGCCCGGAGCAGCAGCGCGAGTCCCAGCAGCACCGGCCCCATCCCAGCCCGGCCCGCGGCGCGAGACAATGGGTGCTGGGCTGGTGCTGGGTCCTAGCGCCGCCTCACAACCCGGCCCGCCGGGACAATGGGCAGGCGCCGCCCCTCCGTCTGCTGGGACAATGGGACAGGTGCGGAGTCCTAGCGCCGCCGTGAGCTGGGCCCTCCATGTTATCCGAGCCTCCGCCCCCACCTCCAGCTGCCAGAGTGCCCCTCACTCCCGCCCCGCAGCACCTGCCAGCCCAGCCTGCACATTCAAGCATTAGGACCCAGCAGCAGCCCATGCGCGGCGATGGGAACAGCTGGTGGCTGCTTGTGCATCTGTTGTGCAGACTGCAGGGTCTGTCACCGATCCCGGCGCGGGGCAGGGCAGTGTCTCGTTTTCATCCTTCCTCTATATCTGCCTCTTCCTGGGGAGCCAGTCACCCCCCTGCCTCCCGCCACACCCCTCTCGTCTGTCCATATATGGAATCATAGACTCGTAGAGTTGGAAGAGACCTCAGGAGTCTCAGAGTTCAGCCCCCTGCCCAAGGCAGGACCAACCCCAACGAAATCATCCCAGCCAGGGCTTTGTCAAGCCGAGACTTAAAAACCTCTAGGGATGGAGATT